ACTTCCTTTGCCTTCTGAGCTCTCTCCTTCCTTTCAAACGATGTAGGCTTGTATTCATAGTTACCCTGGGGTTGGTAAGGCGAAATGGGGCCACTCATACTAATGGCGGGGCGGATAACTCTTTTTATGACTCAATTTTCTCCTAAATTGATTTTTCAATCACACAATTTTTTTATAAAATAACTTTGTATAAAGATCCAAAAAAAATTCTTATTTTTTAACCGTACATTTTTTCAAAAATATTACTTTTCATGAAACTTATTTCCAAAAATCTACACCAAACAATCCTTACAATAAGGTTAGGCCAAATTGTGTCATATGTAGATTAATTCGATTAAGAAGATACGATGTATTAGGGATGACTCTCTAAAACTGTGACACGTTCAAGCTATCTAACTCAGGCATTTTTTTTTTTATATTTTTTCTTTAAATTAACTAAAAAAAATTCTATCTATTGCGTGCATAATTTATTAGAGTTGTATTAGGATTTAATCATATTATAGTCAAAGTCAAAATAGGTTTAGAATAGTCCAAAATATGGTAAGTATTGTTTGGGGTTGATAGAGTCCAAAAAGAAATCAAAGAAATATAAGAAGAAGATCAAGATTCAGACTTGAAGAAGTTGTTATCGAGAAGGACTCATTTCCACTAGCAAGCAACCTAGCCAATGCTCGAGCATCAAAATCAAAACATCTATCACCCACTTAGCGCTGGACTAGCGCTCGTGCAACAGGTGTGCCACACTAGCGCTCGAGCAACGATCGACGTTCAAAAATCTCTATTTGTATAGAACACTGATTTTTTAAATCTATTTTCATCCTAAACACTTTTCCATATATATATATATTGAACCCCATGTATGTCCTATAGCGCGTTGAATTAGATTTATTCCATAGAGATAAATTCTTTGATGATCCAAAACATCCATTGATTCCAAGATTCAACCACCACATATTACTTGATCCCTGAATTCTTCTAAAACATATTTTGTTGATCAAGTCATATTGTTCCATATTAAATCACGACATCAAAAAATAGGAGGCTTTTGATTAAACACCAAACCACCTAATCCATCGAAGATAAACGATGCTTGGTGTGAGGAGCCGGCAGTTTAGTAGGGCCAAGGTGATATTTCAATAGTCGAGATCTAGTGTAAAAAGCATGCAGTCCAATAGGATCAAGGGTGACTACAGGAAAAAAAAAAAAAAAAAAAGAGGGGATTAAGAGTTAGTTGGGTCTAGACCATACTATAAGTTGTGTCGTTTATAGTGGATTATTGACTGAAAAAGTGCATGAAGTTTTTGATCCCTTGTGAAGGGTTTTCTCTATTATCAATTTGGAGTTCTTTACTGCTTTTGCATTACAAATTGTGGTAATTCAACATAGGAAAAATTGATTTGATTGAATAATAATTTAGAAACAATTAAAAAGTGACTTGTTACTTTTAATTCTGCTTTGCATGTTCTATGGTCAAAACATTATCTAAATCGATTAATAATCTCGATTAGGTTAACTTTCACGCATAATATGCCTTATGGTCGGGTCAATCCACATTCTTTTAATGTCCAAGATATTTGTATGGATATTGTCAAGTCTTTGTCTAAGCAGGTTATATCGACTATATTTGTTTAGGTTTGATCCGCGATGGAGGAACAGGTATGGCTCAACATAATCAATCTATTAATTATAAAATGTTATATTTTGTCAATTTGTTATTTACTTTTTATATATTCATAAAATTGTGAGTCGACATTCTGCATGTATTAGAACCTCGCATCTGTAGTGGCAGTAGTGCCTTATAAGAGGGTAAAAACTAAAAAGTGAAACTAAAAATCCCCTACACTAAATCTCGTTTTGAAAACGGAAATAAAATAATAACAAGTGAGAGGACGTAATGAAGACGAAAATTAAATAAATAGTACTTGCTCAATATGGACAATGAAATGTAAAGTAGGCTGTAGGCCAAACCATGTATTGGTAAATCAAGAAAAAATCATAGTACTTGCTAACCAGAAAATCAACCACATACATCTAGAGGCTGCTATTTAATCTTTGAACCAACCAATACCATCGTGCTCTTGACAAAAAAATCTAGGATTGAACATCGTCCGATTCGATTTTATTCTAAAGAGAATTGAATTAGACCCGAAATTTTCGGGTGTTTAGTAAGTGAAACTGTTGGGTCCAAACTTAATTAAGAAACCATTTGGATTCGATTCCATTCAATTCCCGAGTTCCATACCATAATTAACTTTTTTAATATTTACAAAGTTTCGTTAATTCAACCAATGTCATGTTCAATTTTAGCTCTTTCAAAATAACGTAATCTAATCTTATGTATTTTTTGAATTTTTGTTGAGTTTTTCATATATTTGATTGTTAAAATTACAGGAAGAAGAATATAGTGAGCTTGCAATAATTAAGAGAAAGTAGTCGAACTTCAATTTGATTTCTGCAGAACGATAGAAATTACACTACAATAGAATAATAGATTTTGAGAAAATTAAAGTTAATTTGATTAAGTTAGGCTTGGACTGAAAATTAGAAATAACAAAATCATATTTTTTGGTTATTAGTTAGCAAATTTATTTAGAAAAAAAATATTTTTGACTTATTTAAAATAGATAAATTAAAAAAATTAAAAAGATTCGATTTTTATTTGGTTCTTCGATTCTTAGAACCAAACCAAACCAAACTGGTCTATTTTTGTTTCAGATACTCGATTGGATATTTAACTTAAAAAGAATCGCTCGACTCGGGTTAGGTATGGTTCGGTTCGATCGGTTCGGATCGAGAGTTTTGTCTAAGCCTAGAAAAACCAACTCATGGGCAACTAAAAATGAACCTTGCCACTTGTACATCTCGATTGATAGACTAGATGACAGATGAAATATTTATGAACATTTCAGCTTCTTTTTTTTTTTTTTTTTTAAATAATTCCTACAAACTCCACATCAACAAGAAACTTTTCATTTGTCATCCTTTCTGTCAAAGAAAGTGTACAAGTAGCTTAATTCATTTAAAATTAAGAAAAGTGTTTCATTGTCTAGCCTTCCGAGTATAGTTTAGTGAATGCATATCGTTACACCCCTAACTAAACCATTTTGGAATATCGTTACACCCCTAACTAAACCATTTCGGAACATCAGGCACACCATTCCCTCGAAGTGTCACGCGTCCATCTGAAGTGGTTCCGAAGTAATGTCAACTTCTGACGACCTCAACATGATGCGTTGCGAGGCGAAGAGTAGATCCATTGAAGCAACCGAAGTGCCCCTTGACTCCGAAGCGCTGAGCACTCCGAGGTGCTCCCTTAACAGATCCCTCCGCCGCCACTTTTAGAAAGATATCTGTCAGGATCCTTTCTGCTTCCAAGGATTAATTGATGTAACGTCTCCATAAGTCTAGTTGATGTGGCATATCGACTTTACGTCAACTTAACTCAAAAGAACTAATTGCCCGCCCACTCTAGACGAGGCTGATCGACGTCTATGAGCGGACGCCTTACACCGTCAGATACATACACGTGTTCCACATCCAATAGTGCTCTAAATCTATAAATAACCAAGGTTTAGTAAGAGACAAATGTAATGAAACTCTTACAACTTAGCTCTCTATACTAAGAAATATATATTCTCCATTTCTCTTCCCCACTCTCTTGCACAACTTGAGCACTGTTCTAATCACCCAACACTGACTTAACCGTCGGAGTGTATGCGGCCGCCACCACTCTTGTTGGTTTCGACTGTGTGCTTCTGACCCTACGTTGTTGTGCACAGGAAGGATTATGTGGAATGGTTATCCGTTAGCCACGTGCAGAGTCCAATTAGCAAGGTCAACACCTATATGAGTTCAAATGTCAACCAAGAAATGACACTTGAACTTGGATAAACTGAGCCAAATTCTCTAATAATACATCTCATATGGGATTTTACACATTCTGGAACCATATAGCACTTACTTTATCCACCCAAGTTAAACTAAAGGAACATCCTAACTTGAGAAAACATTAGTAAATATGTAAAAGCCATTAAAGAAGCCTAGTACTACGTCGCCTAGAGAAAGAACAGAAAAGTCGGTAATACTACATTCTATACATATTAAGCAATTCAGTATAATATTTGGATAGCCATACCCATTCGGAACAGTTTTCAGTTCTAAATGCAAGGAGCTTAAAGAATTCAAAGATGCTTTTATTGGAAATTATGAATACTAGAGAAGGGAAAGATGTCACTCATTTTCGAAGACAAAATTCTATGAACTTCCAGAAAGGGTAGCTGGAAACTTGGAGAACTGTCAAGAGGAAAATATACCCATAGTAAATTACTACTTTCACTTTATTTCCAAACCAAACCACGAAACACAAATTTCGTTTCAGCCAGCAGATTCACATAGCCAGTGCAAGATCCACAGGGACATGGTGACACAGTATCATCGATAGAGCTTAGCATCAATAGTGATGTATTACTTATAGTAAGTGATACTAGTAGCACATGCAATCATTTGGAACATTAAGTCCTAGTTTGGTTCAGCTAAAATAATCTGATCAAAATTAATTCAATAATTAATTTTAACTATACATATTATGAGATTCACAACTTTTTCATCAACTTGTATCAAAATCTACTAAAAATCTGATTTCTATCTAAACTAAACAAAGGATAATCTTTGAAAAAAACCATATTAGATCTCGCACAGTTAAATGTGCCTGTCTTCCATATTACTTCTGATCATATATCATGGTCAGAAAGTTCTAGAAAGGGAAAGATAAAGTACCTTATTTGCAAGTTACAATTTTACAAGTTGCTGAAGAATCAATTTTGATTTGACATCGTTTCATCAATAACAACTATCACCAAAGTCTGAATAATGTGAAACTTAAAATAGCGAGTCATAATACTTACACTTGGAGCCCGTTACTAAGGAAGACTTAAAGAGGCTTGACCAAAATGAATGCAAAAACCATCATAATTACATTACAAGTAAAACATGAACAGGTATTTAAAGAATCATGCAACACTGAGTCATAAAGCGCAGATAATTTGGAACAGGGACTGGATCCTTTGCGAGTAGGGATCCTCCATTTCCCACAACATGGGATTCAAAGCCTTGTATTGAGAAATATCAACGTTATTGATTGGAAAATGTTACAAGTCTAAATTGGTAACGTAATTTTAACTTACTGTAAGGTATTTCCTATGGCAGCATATCATCTCTTTTAAGTGTACAAACTCAATAGCTAGGGCCGCACTCGGAAGGTAGATTGTCCAGCCACGAATCATCCAAGAGAGGGGATGAAGTCTCAGATTCAGTGGGCCATTCTGAAATCACATCTATTTGATCAAAATTGATTGACTTATATTGCATATTTCTAGTCTTGACAATTGCTTGTAACCAGAGATTGCAATGGACAAACACCAGATCATTTAGTTTATCAAGCTCTGCTCTGCTGCGTCTCTTACTATGAATGAATTCAAAAGTGCTCCAATTCCATCTACACCAGTGAGAACTACAAGGTTGGCTTAGTATCCGTACTGCAGATCTCTGCAATGTTGGGATTTCATACCCATATGCTGCCCACCAGTCACCTAAGGATACAAAATGCAGAAATGTCAACATACATTGTGATTGAAGTCAAAGATTACGAAGTCCCAACAACTTCCAATGGACTAGTGGTAGAATGAAACCACGTATTCAACACCTTTTCCACAATATTTATGGAGACAGTGAAACTAACTACAAATGTAAAATAACATTTAAAGCACGTTTCCTCAATCCAATCAAAATCTTGAACATAATCAATTATTGTTAAACAAGTCCATATCCAATACATTACTTCTGCAAGACAGTAACACTAAACTAGCAATTGGGAAATGACTTATTAAGCTTCTTTTGGGCATTTTAACATTACTGGGTTGATCTGATTGATATAATTCAAGCAGCCTCCTAATGCAAATCCTATTCATACTTAATGAAATGGTAACAGCTACCTTCTGGGCCTTTTCTTTGGGACCTTCCTTCTAGAACTAACGTCACAAAATATGAGAATATCTGATTATGAAGATTCTTTTGATTTAAAGCATACCTGGGGCATTTAATGTTCTCCCCTTCACCGCAAATTCAGTCCCCAGAGCACCATGAGCATTTATGTACACCGGATGTTCTTTAGTTATTTCTATTCTATCTTTATCATCAATTGCCATTTTCATCATAGCTTCTTGAAAACCATTCCGCATTCTCGAATCAACCTTAAAGCTGAGGCTATAGAAAATCGAAGGATTAAGAAACGCTGCAGCTGCATGTAAAGGGGAATGAAGCTGTATGTTCCATCTGCTATCAATTATATCCCACATAGGCACATACTTCTCTGAAATGCCTTTATAATATGTCTTGATTGTTAGTTTTGCCCTCTCCAGGCCTTCGTACACATAGCCTATAGCAGGCATGTCTCCATCAACTATCCTGAGGATTTTGACTAGTGGTTCAGATATGCTAACGGCTTCACGTGCAGAGTTCCAGAATCGTTCTGCAAACAACATTGACTTGATGAGTTGGCCATCAGGGCGTCTACTAAAATTGGATGACAACCACTCGGCATGGGTGAACATGTGCTTCAAATTGTCCTCTTGTATTACGAGGGATCTTAAGGAGAGAAAATTAGTTAAATACCTTGAAATTTTAGGTCTAATCAACTCCATTCCACCAGTAAACTTTCGCGTCATATTAAGAATCCATTCATTACGGTACAAGAATTTTGTGATAGTATTTGCCTCTTCCAAGACCATGCTAAACCATTCTAGTTTACTGAAATCCTCCAAAATCTTAGTAATGCAATATGAAGCACATGGCGACCAGAATAATGAAGGATACTTGTCCATAAGAAGCTTTCCTGCATAAGCATAACTAGAATCACTTTCTGTCATTACTTGAACAACATTTTCAATACCAACTTCTAAGACAGCGGACTCTAGCAACCCAAATAAATAATGAGCATCATCAACATGGCCAGAGACATCAATGGACCTCAGAAACAACGTTCCTTTAGGGCATGTAACGGAAAAAGCTGCAAGTGATTTGGTCCTACCATCAGACCAGCAATTGCACAAGATTGTGCAACCTGTCTCCTTCCATTCATTTCTTATTTTTTGGTACAGATCATGAATATCACCTTTAACTTTATCCAAGAGGTTACATCTCAACTTTTCAAAAGTTGGTGCTTTAAAACTGACTCCACATTCAGCAATAGCGTCCACCATATCCCGATAATACGTAGATTTAGCAGCATTAAAAGGGATTGAATTATAGAAGAAAAATGCAGCCACTTTTTTATCTGCGTCATCCTGTTTTTGCTTTAGAGCATCCTCTAATTCTGGTTCGGGTGGAGCACTTGGAGAAGAATGTGGAAATAACAAAGATGGACAAGCGCTGCCATTCTGTTCGCTAGATCCATGATTGGGAAGGGCGCCACCACTCGCAGAAGAGCTATTTTGATGTCCATTTTCCACCTGCTCCACCTTCTGTCTTTTAGGAGTTCTCTGCCTCTTGGGATTGCTTAATATAACTTGTACATGGTCCCGCACATCAGCTGGAACTTCAGAGCATGGAACTATATCCTTGTTTCTGATCTGAGCTAAATGAAATTTTATCCTATAAACACCTCCACTGAACTCTCGATGACAATAATTACATCTAACCTTCTGTTTAGCTGCATCAATGAGGACACAGTGTTCCCAACAAGCATCTCTCCCCCGAACCATTACTTTGAATAAATAGCGATTCAATCAAATTTATGTCACCTACGCACAATTAATAGAGAAGTGAATAAGAACAATATTTTGTATCAATAGGACAATCCCACATAAGTAAATTGAGGAGCGCTTGAAAAACACCACGAATACTGGCATCCTATGAAAAAAGAAAAATATGAATGATCTATCGGATCTATAGTTGTCAGTTAAGAGTTATGACATCAAAGAGACATTTCAATCAGCCGTTCAACCAAAAAATGATCACTGAAGCCAAAATAAAGTACTTCAAATACCATAGAAGACCTAATGCGAACTCCAATACACTTGGCTCTGCCAAGACATGATCTTGTGCAGGCATAAACAGATTGAAAATCATTGCTTGGGAACATCAGCATTATGCCAACACTTGCCCCAAAACTAATGCAAGTAATATTGTCACATCTCCAACGGCAATATAGCATTCTAATTATTCAAACATTTGACAATGTTTATGCCGAGCTAGATAAACTTCAGTTCGTAGGATGAAATATATAAACTTAATTGGTATAGAGGGAGCAAATTTTATGGACTTCTAGTTATCTATCTTCTGATATGTGAATACTGTGATTCAAAGTACAACAGTAATCTAAATTATTGTGGCCATGAAACTAACAGGATTTTGATTTATTTATTTTTTAAAATTTTAAGTTTTTCAATCAATTATGAAGTTAAGGAAACAACAAACAAAACAATAAATTCAATGCAAGTGCCTAGAATGTAAACTATATCAAGAATTAATTATTTTTGAAAATCGAAGTTCACACATTTGATTATATATGTTCGTTTTGATTGTTTATCAACTTTACAGGAGCTTTTCATCTGTCTTTTTCATTTCAACCCCCCCCCCCCCCCCCTTTTCATCTGTCTTTTTCAGTTCAACCCCCCCACCCCCCACGCCCATCCACACGCAGAATCACAGGCGCGTTCGCAGGAATACCTTAGATCTGAAGAACTTGAAGTAAAGAGATCTTCACGGTGATTGGCTGGTGGGAGATGGTGGCAGCGGGAAAAAATCGGCAGACGGCGATCCGAGGAATTGAAAGACAACGGCGATAAAATCGGGTACCTAAATCCAAGATTTTTGCGGACGATGAGTTTCGCTCTACCTGTCATGTGCATCGCACGTGTCTTGCCCGACTCCGCCCCACTCCCCGGTTTTCTTTTCACTTCTCTCATTTTAAATTGCATTAATTCAGTAATTTGCTTTCAAAAAATAAAGATTTACACTAATTTAGTGATTTTCTACTTTTCATAACCCAACGGTGATAAAGGAGTTGTGGACACAAAAAGCGCAGAGTTTTAGTTATTTTACAACTTTATCCGAAACATACTCTGACAAAATAATAGCCGAACATTGAAGTAGATCAAGCTGAACGTATTAATGAGTTGGTCAAGGGAGCCAAAATATGAAATCCGAATGTATCCATTTTGAACTTTCTCGCTATTGAAGTGCACATCGATCTCAATATGATCGTGCAAGAATCCAAGCATAAATATTTAATTTTTGCATTATCACAATAAATAAGAAGTATGGTGAAAATCGATTCGTTTAGGTTAAGGCACGAAGACTTCATATAGAGAATATTACATGACGCAGTGGCTATTGAGTGATGCTCTACTTCAATAGAAAAGCGTGCAATAATTATTGTTTGCAAAACCATGCAGTACTAAACATGAGATAAATCTTCCAAAGAACAAGGTGCTTTTCGAATGAGCCAATTCATTTTGGAACCTGCTGATGATTCAATAATATTATTACTTCAATTCGAAGTTGACTAGCCTGAAGTGCCTGCATCTTCGGAGTCATGCCTAGAATGAGTATTTTGCTTACGAATAATTCCGACAACTATCAGGAGAAAAAGAGGCATTTACCTATTACAGAGATGGTGTGATTTGGATTATACCTATTTACACAAATACCTCTACGATTCCTGCTCGTTAATACATAGAGCCCAATAAACATATCTCGAGTTGGTATGGAAAAGGGATCCCCCAGTAGCTAGGACTCTGTTATCAAATGATTGAAAAATCAGAAACAATTTACTTACGATACTTAGTTGTAACATCTAATCAATAGAATTGTGTCCAAGAAGCACAACATGTGTGTTGGTCGATATTTGATTATCAGCATTAACTACCCAATAGAATAACAAAAGGCAAGTGAGAAAGGATGAGAATGTCTTTGAAACAATAGGCCAAAACGAAGTGTGACACATAAATTAGGCGTTTGACACACGGTATTGATCACATGTTGGTTGGTGCATAAATTGAGAGAGGTTGTTTACATGATCTCGTGGGCAGAAGATATTAAATACTGATGTAGTAATTCATGAAGATATTAGTGTTGTGAGAAAAATGACAGGTGCAGTAGAATTGACCAACAATCTTAAGGAAATGTGACCATCGAGAAAAAAATTTATCAATGCATTACCCGCATGACAACATCAACATCAACACGAACAAGAACAAATATTTGACTCCTATTAGAGTGGATAAATAGCTAGGTGGTGAACCCATGGTCGAGTTAAAATTGCATTCAATGTACAATGTCCAAGGTGCCATGTTGAGATTAAAACTAGAAGCTGCTTAAAAGCAACATAGTTGCATATTTGCTGTCTTACTTAACCATATGTAGACTCTAGGTAACTATATTGTCACCATGAAAATTTTATGTTTATACCACATTTTAAATATTTATGTTATTTCTAAATTGGACATAAATAATTACCTATATCTATTTGATTCTTATATGTGTCTCACCACACCAATAAACTTCTTTTTCTGCTCTCTTTCTTTCATTTTCTTCCTTGATTTTTTTTTTTTTAAATGATATTGCTTTTTCTTGTTACTGATTCAAGTTAGTAATATATATGATGTTTAACGTTGGTAAACTAGAATGGGTGCAACTATTGACGCTTTAACTCAATCGTGCTCTTGAATCTGATTATCCTCTTCCATTTAAGTTTGTACGTGTATTTTGGCGTGCTATCACAGGCAGCCAAAAATAATAAAACATACACTTACAAAAAAAATATATGTAATAGTGGAAGTAAGGATCGTTCCGACGAAAAGTGATTTGTCTAATTTTATGCAATGTTAACAATAATGGGGGGTTTTGTTTGTGATGAAATCAATTCTAACTAAAAACAGTGAAATTTAATAAATTGGATTAAATCAATAAAACGAATCTTGATCTCAGTCAATATCCACCGTAGGAATTCCAAACTGATCATAGATCCATAAATAATTACCAATTCATATTTTTAACATTCATCGTTGGAATTTATATTTCATATTTCTCCATAATTGTAGTTAACTGAAAAACAAGCGATCCAATCTTTTATTAAATAATCCAAGAAAAGCACTTAAATTTTAATTTAATAATAGCATGGGAAATTAGAGAAGGTTATGTTTAATCTAGTCAAATATCCTCTCTAGAATTTAATAACCTCTAAAGTGGCGATTAATCAAACTCTAGTTGTTTCATAATGTCAAAGATATCAAACAATTAAGTATTTATTCTTTAAACAAACAATCGATCGAAATACATGAACATCAAATAGGCCTCTTAGAATTCAAATATAACAACCATAAAATCATGCATAGAAGAATACTCAATATATAAAATATGAATGAAAACAATGAAATTTATTTAGATCTCACAGTTTGAATAATTCCTAGACTTCAATATTTTTCGATCAAGAGATGAAGTTTAGTAATACATCAATAATCCTTAAGCAAAAAGAGAGAAAAATTTATATTATTTGCTCTTCACCTCCAAAAATACGTAGAATATAAAATTTTTAGGTCAAAAAGGAGGTTCTCTTCATTCTGGCGCCTTTAGGTATATATATGATGTCAAAAATATTGTTTCCATATAGAATTTCATCAGAATAAGGAAATTGACCCGTCACAAAAATTTTGGCCTGTGCTCGTGCGCTACTTTGTTGTTTTGCTCTCGGTATGCAAGAATTAGGTCCCCCGTGCGCGTCACTTTAAGCCCGTGCGCACGCACAACATAAAATAATTTCAATTGTTGCACTTTGATCCCTCAATTTCAATCTTTATTCATTTTAACTCTTTTTTGATGTCTTCTTATTCCCTTAGCTTTCAATTCCATCTAACTTAATTCACACCTTCTCCAAACATCTATATTGGGTCCGAATCAATTATTAGTATTTTGCATTTTAGTCCCCAAACTTTGGATTCATTTCTTTTTAGCACCTTTTTCGTTTCTTTCTTCCAAATCCATCAATTTGCATTGATTTCAACCTTTTTGACTTCTTTCTTCATCCAATTGACCTCCAGCACTCTTGAATCTTCATTTCATCGCCCGTCTCATCTATGAATTATTTTCAACTTGGTCCCTAAACTTTCACTTTATTTCATTTTGATCATTTTTCGCTCTTTTCTTCCAAACTCCATATTTTCCATCCATTTACAACTTAAACCAAAATATAAGAGTACTGAGTACATTTAGGCCTTAATTAATCACAAAAATGCAAGTATTAATAAATGTAAACTACGACATTTTATGTCTTGTCATATTTGGATATAAATTAAGCATTCTTATTTCAATGAGAAATCCAGAATCAATTCTTTTCAAATATCAATTAGAAAATACTGTGCGAGAAAATATACATATTTTTCCAAGGAAGAAGGGAAAAATTTTCAAGAGGATAGTCATATATATCCATGTGGTAGGACGTTCACACAACTCATGACATGGTGGTCGTTAATTTGTGTCATAATTAATATTTACTTTATTCATTTCTCTTAAATTTTTTTAATCAAATTAACCACTCAAATGACGACCCGTGTCCTAATTTACTTTTGACTCCATTTTGATCATTTTATATTTATAACCCTCCAAATCAATATAATAATTTAATTAGCTATTATATATTAAAGTAATAATCCAAAATTAAAACATTTATTTTGTGTTGGAAGCAAGCCACATAATGGTACTTTTTTTGTGTCTCACCTAATGTCTTTACTACGTACATGGATTAGGAAATAGGAAAGAATATTCCAACAATTCACCCTCTTTAAATATATAAAGACGTTGTGCATTTAAAATTTCTATGTCAATATGTACTTAGCTATCATCGGTAGATATTTTATCGAGTATGTTTAGAAAGTGTTTATAAGTGCCTTAATTATAAACAAATAGAATTTACTATTTAGTGATGAAAAAGTGAGTAATACTTTGTAGATAAAAAGTGACTTGAGTATTTATAAATAATGTGTGTAGTTTTCGAAGTTGCGGAAAATTTTAGATATACAAAAAAAAAAAAAAGCAAAAAAAAGGTTCTACCAATTGAACACTAAAGTAACCAAACTTTTATCTTGTATATAACAAGGTCTACCGATTGAGCACTAAAGTAATCAAACTTTAATCTTGTATATATCGATACCATCTCTTACACAACACATATTAGCATATGCTAACAAATTGCTTGTTCATTTCAAACTATTTTTAGTACGATAATACTAACGTGCTCGTCGAACATAATAATTAGACACTATAGTCAAGCTATTGAAAGAAAAGGGGTCCAAATAATTAACTATAGATTCTTACTACGCCTCTGCTTCTACCTAGTCACTTCACATTGTATTTTTTTTCGAATGGCAGTTCACTCCATATTGATAATGTGATTATCTAGTCACTCTAGTAAAGCGCAATGGTGTACATGCCCAAAGGAATTGTGGAAACGTGATGGTACTCCCACATGTTGTCACATGACTTGAACTGCTTTACATTTCTAATCAGAATATACGTAGTCTTAAAATACAATAGTATAAAAAAAATCAACCCCTTAAAAGCCCTATACTTCATTGTGTGAATATAACATTGTCATTTGAAACCACATAAATCAAATGATTCAACATTCCACTTGGGCATCAAATTAATGATGATGCGTCACCAACAACAATGAGATATATTGAAGATCATTATGTAGGGTCCTTCATCACCTTTCTGACAATTAAATAATTATTTGCTTATCTATTTTGTATTTTAAATATTTTGTTCACCTTATTCACTAAATATGGTCTTAAGATTAATTGAGGGAATTAACTAGCACTTTAATGACAAAGATCTAAATTATTTTGTCTCAATGTAAAATGTTATATATAA